TGACCATATTACGCATTTTCGAACATTCTAAACCAAATATATAAAAATGGGAGACGAATGTTAAATTTGCTAGACATAAAGAAGTTGTTTACCGAGTTTTAGCTCTTATCTCTAACAAAAAATTAATTTTTAAAAAAAAGACCGAATACGTTTCACAGCGAGAAAAAATAAAAGGCAAGATAGAATTTTCTAGACATAAAGAAGTTGTTTACCGAGTTTTAGCTCTTATCTCTAACAAAAAATTAATTTTTAAAAAAAAGACCGAATACGTTTCACAGCGAGAAAAAAAATAAAACTGTACACTGATTTTCATTTTCATTTCCAGTCACTTTACTTATTATTTTTTCTTTTTTTCATTTTAATTATAAATTATTTCGTAATACGTTTATTTACGTTACCATTTTCTTTATTCTTTTGAATTCCATACTAGACACTTATAGAATATTTTGATTGTCAACGTACTTCATTAAAATGAATCCTTACAAAGGGTATGTCGATCGAATTTACCTAATTGGTATTTCCAATCAGATTGAAGAAGGTAAAATGACATGGGAAGAAGCTTGCACCCATGTTCCCATCGCCCCAACCCTTCAAACAAATGATTTCAAATATTTAGATGTTTCAAAATCTTTTTTACAAAATCAATTTAGCTTACAGAATATCCCATTGCCTAAAGGCAAGAAAGGTCGTAGGGTCAATCCCTACGACCAAATCAAAGCTCTTGCTGTGATACATGACCACTGGGCCTTTCCCTGTGGTCAAACAAAACAATGGAAACGTTTGAAATTACAACAAATTGATGTATCTTATAGAGAAGTACGCAGATACTTCAAAGAAAATCATTTCACCAAGACGCGATTAGAGCATGCCGGGCCAGAAACAGCAGTAAGATATTGGGCGCTTTCACCCAATCTTATCTGGCACGCAGATGTTCATTATTTTAGGGGTGTTCGTGGCCAGTATATTTATGGCATAATCGACGATAGTTAGTATACAATTATTGGGTACGGCGGCACTGCGTTCCACCTTACCCAATACTTGTGAATTTGACACTTTACAAAACCGTCTGACACATAAATGACTTCACTAACGAACTCACTAATGTAAAAAATAAACGTTCTCACTATCGTTCTCACTAACGACTTCACTAATGTTCTCATAAATTTTCCTCAATATCTTCATCATCAGTGTTAACCCTATTGTAGTCATACTTGAAGCCATAAACTTTCTCTAACTTCTTAACGTACAATTTACATAACTTACCTTCGTCATCGTATGGTTTAATGATATAACTATTTCTATCTTTATACACAGTCAATGAAAAGTCAACTGGTCTCGGATGTATTTGAAAGAACATGTTATGCTCAGGAAGGAAGAATAAATGTTTAAATGTATGTTTGTTATATTTTTGATTTGTATGAGTTGCTTTTGTTCTGTCATTTATATAAAAATAAATAAAAATAAAATAAAAAATAAACTTAAAAATTAATGATATCACCACCCTCACACGTATGAAAACATCCATAAATTTAGGTGAAGTGGTGAGATCTACCTCTTTCACCTCTTTCACCCTGTTGAATTCATTGCTTTATAACTCTCTTCCTTTCTCCAACTCTTCTAACTTCTTCTTAAGTTCAGCAATGTTGTCCTCATGAAGTTTAATCTTTCTCAAATTCCTTCTCTATCTAATGGTTGCTTTATCTTTCTAAACTGAACTCTACCATCCTTCATAGTATGAATGTAAAAACCTTCTGGAATAGTTCCTGATTTAATGTATTCTACCAAAAACTTTTGTTTCATTGCTTCAGTGACTTTAGTTCATTTCAATCAAATAAAAATTTTAATATTAAATAAAAATAACGTTATTTTTTCAGTAAGGAAACGCAGGAGTTTTACGATTTATTTGAGGAGTAGGTTCTGGTTTAAATGTTGGAGTCGGTTTAGGAGTTGACTTTTGAACAGGAGTTTGTACTTCCATAGGTTCAGGAGTCATTGAAGGTTTTGCTTGTGAAGGCGTTGGTTTTGGCGAAGGTTTGGAGTTTGTTTAACTTCAGCTACTTCAGTATTATTTACAACATTTGCTTTATTTCTTTTCAACATCATAACTGCTCCTGCTGTAGCTAGCAAACCTAGTGGGAGACCATATTTATATAAGGACTTGACCAAATGCTATTTTTGACAGGAGCTGGTGGAACACCTAACCTTGGTGAGACTGCTCTTTGCCATTGTGCAGCTCGTAAGAAATATTCAATAGGTGCTCCATAATCGTTTGGTAAAGTTTGTTTCATAGATGGTGAAGGTTCACGAGAGCTTGATGAAGAACTCATTTATAAGCTTTAAAAATAAACGTTCATCCTTTATTCCTCACTGTCGTCCGTAGCTAAGTTATAGTCATCTAATCTTATTATGGGATGCCATTAGCACGCACCTGAATGGCAAAGCAACAATCCCTCATAAATCCAATAAGTGGCTTTGGTACATTTTCAGTTGCTAGTTCAATAGGTCCTTTAACAGACAATTTGTATGTTATTGGAGCAGTAGATGTTTGACCTTGCTGGAAGCAAAAGTCCACTTCTGTTGGAAAACCACATAAGAAATGTGTGTTGTCATAGCTATCCCATTTATGTTCCACACTACCATCATCCACCAATGACCTCATAACATCTTCATTAAATCCTATCATATCATTGTTTGTATTGCAGCGTTCGCAACCATTTCATAAAATACAGGTCCATATGATTTTTCAGGTTCTGCAGGCATATTTCCATAAGCTCCCATGGAAAGCTGAAGATATTTAAACTTAGGGTTCTCAAAATTAACATAATAGTTGTCTTTCTTTCTAAATAGTGCCCAAATACTTTTAACATTAATAGGCGTATAAGCTGCTGTAAATGTTGCACTTGAACTATCTGTATTCTTTGAGAATGAACCGTCCATAGGAATCCAATCCATAACTTTAACAGGAAAACATAAAGCCTCGTTTGTATAATGTTCTACAAGTTCTGTATAAATGTTAGGGTCTAAAGAGAATGACTTTGGATGAATGAAACATTCATTAAAATCCATCTTTGTTCGAAATAGTTGCTGGGTTACAGTTGTAATAGTAACTGTTCCACTAGCTTTACTGCCTTGTTATCATAGTGAATGGTTCATTCCATGGAACAAATTTATTTGTCGGTGGATTTGAATCTGAAGCAAATGCAACTTTAAGAGTTGGATTGAAAGCAATGATATCATTTACAGATATAGATGTGCATTGTAAGGCGTCGCTACTGAACTTTACTTTAAGCTGAATGTTTCCTGCAAAAGCTGGAATAAATCGAAATAGCTTCTAATGGAAGGAATCTTCTAACAGGAATTCTTAAACGAAGCTTAAAATCAAATGATTTTCCTGCTGTAATTGGACCTAACAATTTGTCCTGTTCTGCATGTTCCCGAATGACTCCATACATCTTCATGTCGAGTTTGAGAAAACATCTACTTTCTTTTTGTTCGGTAGTTTGTGAGTTTGAAGTTATATATGCTTCTTTCTTGCCGTTGTCTTGAGAATATACGATACGACCATTTGCAAGGATTTGATATCCAGCAACTGCATAGAAAGCGTCATCGAAACCAATCCAAAATCCTGGTGGGTTTGTTTATTGGAACCTGAACCAATTTCTTTATCTACAATAAATTGACCTTCCATTTTATACGTAATGAATGTATTGTAAAGGTCCAACATATTTTCACCAGGAGGTGAGAGATTGAATGTTACCATGTGTTATCTTTAGCAGTTCAGGTTGTGATGGAATCTTTGCGTCAGAATATTTTCTATTAGTGTCACCAATTTGAACTGCATGTCTATGATATCGAAATATGAGCGAATCTGATGAATATGCTCTGCTGAGTAAATTCGTTTAACTGTTCGTTCTGCATGTCTTTGATTCGGATAAAAATATCTATTTACTTCATTATTCTCACTCTTCTTCTTGGCATTCGTGGTGGAAGTTGTTTCTTGACATTTTCAATGAACTGTACATTCTCTTTTGTCTCAACTTCTTTCACTGGTGGGTCAGGGTTCTTTGACTCGGTTTGTTTTTCAATGAAATTCACGAACTTTGCAATAAGCTCTTGGTTCGTTATTGAAAGTACATCTGGCTTCTTTTCTTCTGGTTCTTTTGGTGGCTCAGTTTGAACAGAAGGCTTAACATGGACTTCGTGGACTTCACCCTTGCCATGCACCTTAATATTGTCGCTCTCTGCATTCGCTAATGGAACCTTTCTTTTTCTTACGTATATTTTACCATCTTTACTCTGACTTACATAATAGAAAGGATGTTGTATTCCTCTTGCGTCATTTAATATAATAGACTCTCGCTCTGATTTTGACAAGCTCATTTTACATCGGTTAAAGTTTTAATTTTGTTTTTTATCTGCAGTCAAATGACTCACAGTCATATGGACAAGACCCAAGGGGTCATAGATGTTGAAGCATTGAAGAAAGAAATTCGCGAGCAAATTTTATCCGAACTGAAGGAACAAAAACAAGAACAAAAGCCAGAGAGACCAAAGAGAAAACTTAGTGAAAAACAACTTGCTGCATTAGCTGCTGGAAGACAAAAGAACCCACGTTTGCTGGCGAAGAAAGCTAGAGAAGAAGCAAAAGCAAAAGCTAAAGAAGCTGAAGCAAAGAAAGAGTAAATGGTTTATTTTTATCCGAATTAAATGTATAGACAAATACCTTTAACTGTTGCGTTCAGTAGTGAAAACCCTGACGTCAAAATAAAGGGGAACAGAGTAACGTTTAAGTTTCCAACAGACTGGATTGTGAACATAATGAAGAGAAGTACATTGGCATAACATCTATGTATATAACACGTGCTTTCAGAAAGGTTGACTTTATACTTCAAGTCGAGATAGAAAATGACGAACAGTCTTTAAGCGCCCAAAACATTCACATATACAAATACTTTAAAGACGATACAACATTGTTGCAATGTATGATTTCATTTAATGAGATGTTCGAGAAAAAGTTCAACATTGAAGTACAAACTTTACAGCCTTTACGTGAGTTTCTTGCACAACTGAAAGAAGAAGGTAGTCGGCCACAACTTATAGACTTTCATTATGAATTTAATGAAAATGAAGATGGAACACATGACTGTCATTTTGTTATATATTCACCATTCAATGAAGTAGCTAAAAAGAAAAAAAATCCATTACGTATAAGATTTCAAATCTCTGAACCCAATGAAGACTTCAAGAATGTTTTCAATTATGATGCAATGCTTCCGAGGAAAAATGAATTTTCAAAGATTGTAACACCTGGCATTTGGGATAGAAAGCAAGCTATATTATATTCAAACTTAAGTAAGGGAGTTGAAAATGAGTTCATTGGTCATACAAGAACTTCACCACTTCCTAACCCTAAATACTATAAATTAACTGGCTTCAATCGTGAGTTTTGGATAGACATGTTCTCCACTCATGACCATAAATGTCCAGTGTTCTTGCCTCCAGATGGGAAGGACTGTCTCTACATTGAAACACAACTCTTAAACTCTACCATCGCAGTATTGTAAAATCTACACTAGCTTTATTTTTATCACGAATGACCTTATTGCTGACAAAAATAAATGACCTCATTCATGACCTCATTCATGACCTCATTGCTGACAAAAATAAATGACCTCAGAACTTCAACTTACGAATAAAGCTTGTTTTAGTCGTTATTGAGAAGTTAAACTTTTCAGCAAAGCAAGGACTAGAAGACTTACATAAGTCAAATCCAATCTCTTGACCGTCATGAAGTGCTTTGTAAAGTTTCATTAAACTGAACTCAGAGTCTTTGTCATATGTTCCTTGCGGAACCATTAAACCTTTATCTTCATCATAGAAACACTGAACAGAGTCAGGAAACATTTCATTAGCGGTTAAAGCAATAACATCTTGCTTCACGCCTTTCATTCTGCAGTGAAATGCAACTTCATTTAAATCATTCGTGAGTAAGTCTATGTAAGTCTTCTTTCCACAAAATATTGACTTGTATGCTAAACTTTGTTTTCCAGGTGTTATTTCTGCGAAGTCACTATGAAACTGACCAAGGTTTTTACCAATGAGAACTCTTCCATAACGTTTCTCAAACTCTTCAGCTAAACGAGGGATATCTTCATTGTAGAGATGCATACTGTCGGTATCGCTATAAAAGATGTCCATTCCTAAGTCCTCAGCAGTACAGAATACTTCACACATTATTCTCTTCGACATTGATAGAATGTTAACACCTAAGGGGCAGAAGTTAAAGTGTCTGCAAATGCTTTTCGTTAGCTTGAAAATAGTTTTATCTGAACCATCCAAACCTTCGAACTTCACTATATGGTTGTAGTTTCTGATGGCATATCTTATAGCATCTTTGTCATCTACTATGGTTATTTTTGACTCAATAGGAGATAGAATAGTTTTGCCATAAATACTGTTCAGAATGAGCTTTATATTTTCTTGCAAAGGATTTCCTTCTTTCTTATACTTTAACCTTAACTCAAACAACTTCTTTACTTCATCTCTTATTCTAATATCTCTGTTTCCATCGTAATAGTATCCTTGCAACACTTCACATTTGACACCTTGATATTTTATGAGGTCTTGTAATGTTATATGGTCAACATACATTAAACAGCAAGTGTTTGAACTTCTGGGAACGTTAAGTTCTGGATTTAGTTCAGGGTCACAAACTATTAAAGGAAAGTGTCTATGTATTCCAATCTCTGTTATCTTAATGAGAACAAAGAAGCCAGACATAAACTTTTCACCAATGGGTTCCTTTTGGTCGTCATCGAATAAATGTCTCATGAGATACTCTGTGCTTAGCATCTCATCCTTCATAACCTTTGGAATTCCTTCTAAAGTATAAAGTCTTGCTATAGCTGATGGATATAATGAAACAGCGTCGAAGTCAGCAATGAGTTTCTTTTCGCTCTTTTGTTTCATGTTATCTGACAACATACATCTTCCACCTTGAATACAGCGTGAAATAAATTCTCTTGGTTTATTTGAGAGGTCATAAAGATTTCCATTCGGGAAGTATACTCTGTTCTCAAACAATTTGTTAGCAATAGAACAAATACTAACGTAGTCATAAACGTTTAAATCAAATTCTTTCAATAAGTCATTGCGGAACTTAACAAAACCTTCTCTTAAAATTCTTACATCTTGTTTGCAATAAAACGTGCTATATTTTTCTAAGTCGAAGTGGTTCTCATCTATTCTGCAACCTTTGATGGAATCTATGTTTTTCATGAATGTATCTGCATCCCGGATAAACTTACAAGCTTCAGAAATGACACCAGTTCTGTTGTCATTTGCTAACAAAGTACTGCTGTAGTAGTTATATGGAAATACTTCTTTCGGTCCTGTTTGTAAGTTAAACATAGCAGGAAATAGTTTAAGCTTCTTATTTATAACACTGTAAGAGTCTTTTATAATAATTGCCCGTCCTTTATATAAACCAGTTATTTGCATTGTTCGTGAACCTTTAATGATGGGAGTTCTTTTCACTTCTGTCATGTGTCTTAAGATGAAGTTTATATCATAACTGAGGTTATGGAAATATATTAAACTCTTGTCAGGAAGTCGTTCCAAAAATTCTGTTGCACAGTTCTGACCCCATATGCTTTCACTCACTGAACCATCTTCACTGTCATAACAGATGTTAAAAGCTTTATGAAAGCCATCGGTACTGCACTCAAAGTCAGCAAAGAAAACATGCTCAGGAATGAACTTACATTTAGCTTTATTTACTTCTTTTGACTCTGCTTTCTTCTTCAGTTGTACACAATACTTTGGAGCATATGTCAAATCTTTAAATGGTGCAAGGTTCTGTTTATATAAGTCAGTCGTATATGTGAAAAGTTCTCCATAAGAAATAGGTTCGAAATATTTGCACTCCCACAATGTTTTCATAACATCCCATAGCGGTGTAGTTCTATCATAACGAACTACATATTTTTCTCTCTCTTTGTATATATTTTCATCTGTTTCTCAATGTTCATTCCACCACACTCCTTCAAGATTTCTATATAGTTGCGAATGAAATATGTTGTCATTGGTAATCTTTCGTTTAGCATGTAGTGGTCTTCAACAAGAAGTAAGTCAATAGTTCGAACAGTTTTACATTCTTTTGGTATATATCTCTTTATTTCATTATGTCTTGAGTCATTGAAAGTAACCAATGGTAACATTAAATGCTATACCTGTTGCGTCAGAAATTTCTTGTACTTTACTTTGAGGAAAGTCTCTAACACGAATGACTTCTCTCATGTGATCAATAGTTTCTTCATTTACTCCAGCCTGAATGCAAGCATAAACGAAACAATTGTCTTCTGTCATAAGTGTTGCAGTTCTTTTGTTCAGTTCATTGAAGATTTGGTAGCGTTCAAGATTTATAGGTAATGTGCAAAGATACTTCCAGAACTGACCGCTTCTCTTCTTATAAAACTTCTTTTCACCATTATCTTTCCAAAAGCTTTCTATAAGTGCTGGGTTTCCTGTTTGCTTAAGAGCTTCCAAAATGGCTTTCTGGTCATTTGTCAGTGTGCTTTCATCTCTATATGGTCGCTTCTGTGGCTTTCCTTTCTTTACATCTGACATCGTTAAGCCTTCATATTCTGTTAAATCATACATCTTTATTTCAGTAAGATTCTTTATGTTTGTCAAGAAGAAGTCATAGTGCATTTCAACAATACCTGCAGCATTTGCTTCTATCTCTGATATAAAGTTCTCCTTCAAGAGCTGATGTAGTAATGTTCCAATATTATTGAGGTTTAACGTAGAACATTCATACTTTCCACCAAGTTTATAACATACCATCCATCTTTGTTGGGAGTTTATTTTAATCTTCTCTAAGAGTCTCATGAAAACCTTACCGAAATGTTTGTGTAAGTAGTCTCTGTTTGGTTCATCTAAAGCTTCGATGTTAAAGTCAATGAGTCTATTGCCTGACTTAACATTCCTCTTCCTATTCTCTTCATCTTTCTTTAACCATCTCTCACCTTCTTTTGGTTTGTCGTCAATGGAACGAATGACATCGTTAGCTTTGCGAACTTGTTCTATAGCGCTCTTAAACATCTCTCTTCTCTGTTGTTTCAGTGTGTCGTCTCTTCTTCTTGTTTCACCAACGTTTGCATTTGTTATGTCAAACATCTCTTGACGAACATCATGTGAAAGAGCTTTACGAGTATGACCAACGTTCGCATTTGTTATGTCAAACATTTCTCTTCTTACTTCATGAGGTACTGAACGTCTATGATATAAGTCAATAGCAATGTCATTTAAAGGAAATGCTATTGCATGAACTTCGTCCTCGCCGCGTTGCGACTTTATGAACTCATGAATTCTATCATAACTTATTGCACCATTATAGTCATTGAGGATGTCAGCGAGTGCCTTTTTGTTTGTTGCGTAATGTTTTGCAACATCTATGTTAGCTTCTGTAAGAAGTTGTTTTATTTCCGAGTGTTCTAACTTAGACAACTTCCGATACATCTTTAGTAGGAAATAAAAAAATATTTTTTGAAAAAATTAGATTAGATTTTTTAAAGTTATTTTTCAAAATAATTTAATATTTTTATTTTAATGAAACACATGCAAGATTGCAAGTTCTTTTCATACAATGCTCTCGCTACTGCCATCAAGAATGAGTTCAATGGTGCTTCAAACGTTAATGTTATCTTTAACAAGAAGTTTGTGAAAGAATCTAAGTTTGGTCAGTATGTCAGACCATTAGCTATTGTCATTGACCGCAAACGTTATACTTCACAAGAGTTAGCAGTAGTTTTGAAACAAAAGAGTTTCTTCGTCAATGTCAAAGATACACACTATACTGTTATAAAGAACTCTAACGTTGACTTCTTCAGTATTGCTTTAAATCTTTCCGAACAGAAAGAATATAAGAAGGGTGAAACAAATGTGAAATATTATCCTTCATCTCTGAAGACAATAACGAACAAAGATGTTATACAGAAATTCTTACCAAAGGTTGAAGAAGCTTCTATTGACATTGACGAAGGAAGTGAAATGGTTGAAGAAATAGACCCTGAAGCTATTTAAGCAAAAATATATTTTTGTTTATTCTTCCTCTTTGAAGTTATCGAAATATTCTGTTATTTTTTCCTTCAGTAATGGTAAGTCTTCTTTGAATGTAAGTATTGTGCAACCTTTGATGTCATAGTGTGTTTGAGGAAGAGTATTTTTGACAATTTCCTTTATTTGCTCATTCGGTGTCATTGAAATCGGTAAGTTTTCACGATAGAACCAGTTTCTGTCAGATTTGTAAATCTTAGCAAGGTCGTAAAAGCTTTTGTTGTTTCTTCTGACTAAATGCAACATAACCATATCTCTGTCTTCTTCTTTCTCCATCTCTTCAGCGTAAATCATATACTTATAGCTTTTTTCCTTTCCTTTTGGTACCGAACGCGGTATTCTTTTCTGTATGCTTTTGTCTTTGGATTCAATGACTTCATCTTTTGCTTGAAGTTTCTTTTCCATCTCTCCACGTTCTGCTTTATATAGTTCATCTAACATCATGAAAATATAACAAGCATAACGAGGTGAAGCCCACATTGCTACAGCATTTACAAGAAGTCTATGAACATAATAACCTTTCAAACCAGGAGCCAAATTCTTGCGATTTTCGTACGGAATCTCTTCTCTCGGTTTTCCGAGGGAAGCAATCATATGAGGAAATTCTTCTAAAAGTTCTTTTGTCTGTTGGTTTTCAAACCAATGATAGGCTTGCTTTGTAGAACAAAGAGCATTCATTATACTTTGCATTTGGTACATGTCATCTTTGACCGAACGAATGAGTCTCAATTGTTTGTTATACTGTATGTATTCGTATTCTTCATTTATAGCTTCATGAACGATAGCAGTTGTTGTGTTCTCTGATGTTGTCATATCTGTCTTTACATACAAAATAAAAAAATAAATAAAAATAAAATTAGCGTTATTTTTTCTATCTTTCACAAAAGACCAAAAATAAACGCTTTACATGTATTTTTCAGCAACTTCGTCAAATAATTTTATAGCTTTATCTATCTCATCTACTTCAAACGTTTCTTTACCTTTTATGGGAGCACCATACATTTTCTCAAACTTTTCGAGTAGTTCTGTTTCTGCGGCTCTCATATCATTAACGAACACAACCTTGACTCTATTGACTGTACTGTCATATCTTTGAGTTATATTATATGTCCTTCCTATCTTATATCTTTTTGTGTTGAAGTCCTTCGGTTTCTGAACGATGTAAAGTAAGCCTTCACTGCAACGTTCCGTATCGAATGAACCATAAGTTATGAAGTTATATCCAACAACTGGGTCAATCCATAACAAAACTATTGGTATAAGACTTTTGTCGATGAGATATGCTGTAGTTCCATAGAATCTTACTGATATCATAAGCTCAGGATTTCTTGTCAAAATTTTCTGAGTTGAAGCATTTCTAACCCAGTCGTGTGTTTTCTTTCCAGATGGAAATATAATGTCTGACAAAGAATATTTGTTGTATTTCTTTGAGTATCTTACGTTTAAATCACCTATTCTAACCAATTTGGTGTCATTGTCTATCTTTCTAACTGTTTCAAACTCAATGTTTGTCATTTCTGTTCTTACATACAAAATAAAAAAATAAATAAAAATAAAACTAACTTTATTTTTTCTGTCTTAAGGAAATTCATGATTTTTGTTGCTGAATTCAGCAAAAATAATGTTTAGGTGAAGAGGTGAGATCTCACCTGTTTTCTCACCTGTTTTCTCACCTGTTTTTTCACAAGCGTTTTACATGAATTGTACGATGTATATTTGAAATCCTAAACAGTTTCGTAGCTTCTATTTCTTCTGTCAGTATGTCAAAAGTTTTAACTATGCCGAAGGTTTCTTTATATTTCTTCTTGACGTCAGATAGAAGGAAATCTTCTGCTGTTGGATAGTTTTTGTTCAGAAATGCTAACATGTCCATTTTATTTTCTACCGGCTTCTCTGCTTCTTTCTTTAAGTCTGCATAGTCGTTTCTCATACGTTCTATCTCTTTGACGGAGTAGTTATATTTCCTAATTGCTGCTTTACATTTAGAACATTGCGGGTTCATTTTTGCGTTATATTCTGAAACCTTACCTGCTAAAACAACTAAAGCGTCAATTGCTCTCTTCATCTCAAACATAGCGGGTCTTATTTGTTTGTTCCATACTTTACCTCTTCTATCTTCATCTCTTATCTGCCATACACATTCAGCAACTAACGAAACAAAGTTGTCGTAGGTCTTAAATTCTTCAGATTTATATATGTCAGAAACATTCTTATATACCATGTCGCAATCTTTGTCCATAACCTTATGATTGCAATGAAATCCTAGAAACTCATAGTTTACCTTTCGTATGAACTTCTTTATTTCTACTGAGTCAGTTGCTTTGACTTCAATTTCGTCGAATTCAGGAATAGTGAGTTTTTGTTGTTGGATTTCAGGTAGTTTGGGTAAATGGTCGATGAGGTCCTGCATTTCATAAAGATACTGTTCATTTGTTTCATCTTTCGCACTACAGTCTAAATTACTTGTTAAAAGTTCTTGCTTTATCTTCTGGATTTCTGTTTCAAAAGTATATGAAGAAGGAATGAAGCTTTTCATCTCTACTAACATAGATGTTGGATTCATGACTAACGAGTTTGGTGCTGTTGTTTGAATTGTTGTTGTGCCGATTGTTGAAATCATATCTTTTATACAAAATAAAAAAAATAAATAAAATAAAACTAACTTTATTTTTTATTTCGGGAAAATTCATGAAAATTCAAGAGGGTAGAAATGAGGGTAGAAATGAGGGTAGAAATGAGGTTAGATCTAACCTCTTCACCTAAACATTATTTTTGGGTCCTTTACACTCATTACGAAGAAGTCTTGACAAAACATTTACGAAGAAGTCATGACAAATTCAAGAGGGTAGAAATGAGGTGAAAAAACAGGTGAAAAAACAGGTGAGATCTCACCTCTTCACCTAAAATATATTTTTGGTGAATTCAATAAAAATAAATGGTTCATTTACTCACAATATTTTTTTACAAAACGACCCTAAACTTTTAACTTCTTTTCTGCAGCTTCAAATGCTATCTTAGCGAGTTCATATTCTCTAAATTCTCTCTTTAAATCTTCTTGTTCCATTGGTCTAGTTCGTATGAGAATCTCTATAACCATAATATATCTCACGTTCATGTTCTAATTGTTTTTCACACATTTTTCCAACTTCTTCTTCGAACAAAGGTTTAGCATTCTCCACTGTATCTTCGAGTTCTTCTTCATCTAACTTCTCATGAACTTCTTGTCTATGGAGTCCATAATTTTTCCAACTGCTATGCAATATTTTGGAGAAGCCCACATTGCTATATAGTTTATAAGTCTTGGGTCTACATACGTTCCTCTAACCTGTTTGATTTCATCAGGAATTCCTGCATGAATTTTGTATAAAAAGCAACCGTCGGAATTCCGGCGGTTGCTATATTCTTCACAAAATGCCTTATAATACTCTTCCCAGGACTTATTTTCCAACAACTTTCTAAAGTCTTTCCTAAACTGCTGACACATCTTTGTTACATTAATGTAACCATCCTTGTCTCTACGTAAGACTTCAATACCGTTATAAGTGCCTTTTGTGAATGTTTCACCATTAGATTTGTTCGTGAATGTTTTTGCTTCGACTGACATTTCTGTTCTTACATACAAAATAAAAAAATAAATAAAAATAAAACTAACTTTATTTTTTCTATCTTAAGGAAATTCATGAAAATTCATGAGGGTAGAAATGAGGGTAGAAATGAGGTTAGATATACCCATCTACCCTAAACATTATTTTTGGTCATGGGCTATGCCCCGCCGCTTTGCGTCTTTATGTTAAAATAAATGGTACCATTAATGATATCATGACTGTTCTCATTCATGTCTGATTTACATCCAACGAAAAAGTTTAGAAGAATTTTCTTATTCTTTCTGGCATATTTTTGTCTTTCCAGTACTCCCGCTCTAATGGTCCCAGATGTGTTGGCTTTGACTCTCTCAAGTTCTTAGATGGTATAACATCTTCAACGCCTCCTTCATATCTTATTTTATAAGTGTCATCGTTTATGTTATAACCAAGTATTTCAATAACCACTCCTCGCTTTGCTTCGTCAATGGTTTCAGCAAGTTTGCCATTACTACTTTCGACTAATTTTTGACGAGGATAAAACGCAATAGAGTCGTCAGCAGCTTTTATAAGATATCCATTACCTTGCGTAGAGTCTACGATATAATAATTTCGACTTAACCTTAAACGTTTCTTTGTTAACGGTTTGTCGTCAAGAACTACACGAACTTTTGTACCAGGAATGAGGGTAAATTGTGTTGAATTTCTGATATTTTGTGTTTGGCTTCGTTTCTTTTGTATATACTTTTCTTCTTGTTGTTGTGTCATTGAATTTGGTGTATGTCCTGTTGTAGAATGTGTTGAGGAATTATATACTTCGAGAAAATGTTTCATTGTTTCTTCGGTAAAGTCTCGCTCTTGGTTTAAATCTCTGAGAGTCCTTATGAAGCGGTTTATGATGCCGAGTATGTTATGGTTATGGTCTTCAGTAGTGTAGTGAGTTATGTTATGCTTAATGAGAAATTCTGTGATTTCATTGCTGAGGTATGCACTGTCTTGGTCTGATGTTAAAGTACTTGGGTTATGTTCTGCTACAAACTTTTGTAAAACTCTTAACACTTCACGAGTTCCTTTATTCCTCATTGGATATGCATATGCTTTACGAGTGTTAACATTAATGAAGATGAGGAATGGTTTATGTCCTCCTTTTCTGCTTTGAATGAGAGTGTCAAATTGGTATGCGTCAGGAGTGTTGGAGTAAATTGGTAAAAAGTAGTCGTAAGGGTTTATTTTTGTTTGATGTACAACATTTTTGTCAAAGAACCTTTTCACTTCAGCTCTGTTAGTAAATCCCCAACTCTTTGCAGCTTCATTGAACTTCTTAAATGACCTCCATGGATGTTGTTCGAATACTTCTTTCAAGCTCATTTATGTAAAGTTAAAGATTTTATTCAAGACGGTAAGCCCGCAAAGCAGGCTCAAGCGCGTTCATTGAACGCGGTACCATGCAAATACAGTCACAAATGGTGGCATGTAATCTGCACCCGAGCCTGTTGGATTTGTTGTGAAAGTATGGACATGATTTCCTCCTGGTTCAGTTGGTCGAAAAGTCTTTTTTGCTGAATTGTTATAAGATGGAGATAAAACATCATTGCCAGCTTCATACTCTGAGTTGTATAATGGATGGTCTCTTAATGAGTGGCTATGGTCACCAGAAAAGTTTGTAGTTCCTGTATGAGTGTGCGGTGGAAGGTTTGCTTCAGTAATTTTCTTTGAACCTCCTGTTTCCTTTGAAGAGTTAGCACAGTATAAGAATTTATCTACAATCTGTTCCCACGCACCAAAACCTAAAACTGTTTCTGGATTTGTTGAGTTCATTGACGTATAAATAGAGCCTATAGGATATAATGTTTCAAGAATCTGAGTCTTTAATGTTTGAAGCTCTGTTTTGTCGGCTTTACTGTCTAACATTGATGGTAGTTCATATGCTTCAAAGTTTCTGGCATGATCTTCGATATTCCTACAACTCTTATCTAAATTGTTAAGAGTATCTTTTACGCTTGTACTCGGATTCTCTAAAGGTGCACTTGAACCCAAATCATAGTTCAATATTATGTCGTCTGCTCTAACAGTAGTGAAGGATTTATGTGTATGATTTTTGTCGGCTTTACTGTCTAATGTAGCTTGAAGTTCATTTATATCGGAGATGTTGTGTTTATGAGATTTCAAAACTTTGTTCATTGCTTCGAGTTCATCTTTGTCAGCTTTACTTTTAATAGCATCTTCAAACGTTATTTTTGCCTTAACTCTCAATGTAAATCTTGGTTCAACTAGTACACCGTTAACATTGAAAGTAGAGGCATAAATTTCACCGGTATAACCAAATGCTTCTGGTGCTTTAGCTACATCATACTGTACAGTACAGCTTATGTCATAACCTTTAGCACGAATGTATTTATATCTTCTTTCATTAACATTTTTTGTCTTCGCTTCATCACTTCGTGTTAAATATCCATGATAGTCCGTTATAATCTGTTCATCTGAACTTATATAATGAACATGGTTCTTGTCCGCTTTACTATTTAATGTAGCTTGAAGTTCATTTATATCGGAGATATTGTGTTTATGAGATTTCAAAACTTTGTTCATTGCGTCAAGTTCATTTTTGTCCGCTTTACTATTTAATGTAGCTTGAAGTTCATTTATATCGGAGATATTGTGTTTATGTTCTTTATCTGCTTTTTCGGCTAATTTCTCTTCTATCTCATTTATTTCAAGTTCATGCCTACCACCACCTCCCGAAGAAGTATTTTTCTTCAGCTCTTGAAGAACATCCACTTCGCCATCTTTGGTGTCAATAATGAGACTTTGTGTTAAAACCTTTCCTGTCTTAATGGATGTTTGTAAAACTTCTTCTTCACCGTGTTCGGGGTCATGGTCGTCATCATATCTTGTGAAATCAGAGATGTTGTCATACATTAAGCATATCTGTCTCAAAAGTTCTGCTATTTGAAACTGGAACGAAAGATATACAGAACTTTCATCATCTCCTAAAGTCAAGTCTGCTTTCTTAAGTATTTCTTGAATGTATGCAATGAGAACAGAGTACCTTGGAAAATATTCGAACAATATTTCATTAGCTGTTGGTTTTGGTGGTTCTTCTGGAGTTTCTGTTGTTTCAGTTCCTTCTGTAGGTTCTGTTGGAGTTTCTGCATCTCTTGACTTCAATGCTCTTGCTCTCAAAGACCTAAATGTTAGAGCACCAGGTTTTACAAAGGACTTTATAAATGCTTTAATAGTTCCTGGTAAGTTATTGTTAGCATTAAGTAAGTTCCTTATGCTTCCATCATGTACGTCCATAGCACTATGTAAAAAATCTATACTTTTCTTGTAGTCAGCAATAGACTGACTGTGATTTTTTAAAGATTTGTCAATACCTTTAAGCCAATCTTCATGCATGTCTGATACTGAGCCAAGAATATCATTTGCTTCCTTTAGTGTATTTTGTGCTTGTCGTAAAGTATCCAATCCCGTACGTGCATTGTTTGCTATACGTCTTACAGTATCTATTTGACTCCTTGTTTCTTGCATCCAACCAGATAAAGTTTTAATAGTATCCGAACCATTTGAAATGAAGTTCAAAGCATTTTTAACGTCATTTAAAACTTCTTCACCAAGTACCGCCCATATCTTTCCGATTTGGTATTGAAGAACTCCATATGAAGCAGCTGTTAAACCAGTATTTATAAGGTTCCATATCCATGA